AGAAAATGTTGCTTACTCCTGCACCGTGTTCGCAACTGTTGAGATACTCAAATTCATTGTCGAGGCTGTTGTTGTTGTTGTTGTCGAGTCGTTTGCGACTCATAGCGACCCTATGTACAACAGTTCTAAAGCCTGCTCTATCCTGTGCCAATGCTGCCTCTGACACACCCATCCCGATTACCCCAGTCACTGACCCTCCACTCTCCCAAGCATGATGTCCCTCACCAAGGACTTGTCCCTCCTTGCAACATGCCCAAAGTATGTCAGACGAAGCCCCAGAATCCTTGCCTCCAAGGAGTAGCCTGGTTTAACCCTCTCCAGGATGAATCTGTTTTCTTGGCAGTCCATGGTACATTCAATACTCTTCTCCAGCACCACAGCTCAAAGGCATCAATTCTCCTTCTATCCTCCTTGGTCATTGTCCAAGTCTCTGCTGCATAACAAGTGATTGCGAAGACCGTGGCCTGTATCAGGCGCACCTTAGTCTCCAGAGAGACACCGTTAATCTTCAGTACTTTAGAGAGGTCCCTAACAGCAGACTTTCCCATCGCAATATGTTTTTTTATTTTCTGGCTGCTGGTGCCAAGAGTGTTGACCATGGAGCCGAGCAAACTGAAGCTGTGAATAATCTCAATCTCTTCGCCATCCATCCTGATGCTACCAATTGGTCCAGTGGTGAGAATCTTTGTCTTCTTGACATTGAGCCTCAGTCCATACTGAAGGCTGCATTCCTTGACCCTCTGCAGCAAGTGCATCAGGTCCTCCTCAGTTTCAGCAAGCAGGGTTGTGTCATTTGCATAACGCAGATTGTTAATAGATCTTCCACCAATCCTGACGCCACACTTCTCCTCATAGAGCCCAGCCTCCCAGATAATCTGCTCTGCATACAGGTTGAAAAGATATGGAGATAGGACATATCCCTGGTGTACACCCTTCCCAATTTTGAACCATGCAGTGTTTCCCTGCTCTGTTCTGATAACTGCCTCTTGGTCCAAGTATAGGTTTTGCATTAGCACAATTAAATGTTCTGGGATTCCCATTCTTCTCAGAGTCAGCCACAGTTTGTTAAGATCCACACAGTCAAATGCCTTTGCATAATCAATGAAACACAGATAGACATTCTTCTGGTATTCCCTGCTTTCAGCTAAGATCCATCTAACATCAGCTACAATATCCCTAGTACCACGACCCCTTCTAAACCCAGCCTGGAGGCTACTGTCTCTATTTTTAGTGCCTTCCAAGTAGGAGTTGATCATCCAGCACTAATCAGGAAATACTCGACTGTGATCTATAACGTTTCTACTGACTAGGCTCAAAAATCGGGAAAGGTGGGTGTCAGGAAGCATCCTCTCACCACACTTAATCCAATCAGTGTGCTGGGCAAATGGTCCAAGAAGCTGAACCCGGTAATGACTTTAACCTCAGCATTGGATGAAGACCATCAACAATCTGTGTGATACGAATAACTTTGCTCGCAGAAAATGAAGACTTGACGCTTTTAAACTGATGAAGCTCAAAGACTTCTGAATGTGTGATATCTTAATATAAAGAAAACAAAAATCATCTCCAACTGCCCTGCCAAGCAACATGGTAATAAGTGGAGACAAAGCTGACGTTATCATGGATTTCCTTTTGCTTGGATCCACAAATACTCATGGAAGCAGCAGTCAAGAACATAAATGACCTATGTCATCAGGCAAATCTATTGCAAAAGTGTGCAAACATATTACATGGGAATGATTATGTGAAACACAATACGAATGAAGAATTGTGTGAAATACAATGTATATGAACTCTGAGCAAACCAATATAAAATTTAAAAAAAAATAATAAAGATGTCACTTTAGGGGTAAAGATAGACCCAACCCAAGCCAGGGTATCTCCAATCTCCTCATACAGCATTTGAAAACTGGACAAATGAATAAGGAGGACTAAAGATTTGATACAATTGAATTATGGTGTTGGTGAAGAATCCCATTGGCTGCCAGGACAAACAAATCTGCTTTGCAAGAAGAAAGAAGTGCACCCAGATGGCTCCTTAGAAAAGAGGATAGATGATAGACTTCATCCTATGCATTTAAGCTGTCAGGAGAGAGCAGTTCCTGGGGATAAACAAGTGTGCCTGGAAAAGTGGAAAGTCAGAGGAGCTCTGGTGGCCTTGTGGCAAGAAGCTGCACTGCAATCCCAGAGGCATGCAGTTTGAATCCACCAGATGCTCTACTGGAGAAGGAGGGGCAATCTCCTCCTCTACCAGTCAGATCTGATTTGATTGTACACACACACAAAATAATAAAATAAAATTTTTTTTTAAAGTGGGAAGTCCATGACAAAGAAGTCCCTCCACAGGGCAGACAGACACAGTGGCTGCAGCAGTGGGCTCCCGGGCAGCAGAGATTGTGAGCCCAGAACTAGACAGTGCTTTATTTTGTTGCACGTAGGGTCACTCTGAGTTGCCCCCGATTTGATAGCACTTAACAATAAAATCACAGGTCCTTCTTCCTAGTCTGTCTTGGTCTGGAAACTCTACTAAAACCTGGTCCACCATGAGTGACCTCTCTGATATTTTAAATCCTGCTGGCATGGCTTCCAGCATGATAAGAATGTCCGAAAAACTGACAGGCAGGTCGTGGAAAGCAACATTTGGGAAGCCTACCTGACAAAACAATAAACTACATATTTTGGAGATGTACAGCTTAGGTTGTGACATAGCTACACACCCATGAAACCATCATCACAATCAAGGTAATTAACCTATCCATCACCCCACCACACTTGGAGAGGTGGAGGATGAGAGGAAGAGAGGAAGAGAGGAAAATGGATTGACAGAGTGATTGCTGTAATAGGTTCAAGAGCATCAGAGATTGGGAGGCAGGCACAGGGTAGGACAGGGCTCACATTCGTTGTTCACAGGACTGCTATGAGTCGTGCTTGACTCAGTAGCACCTAATAACATACCCCCGCCAGAAGCGTCCTTGAATAATTTTGTGATCTCTCCCTCTTACTCCTCCCTATCTACCACCAACCACTATACTGTTCTCTGTGGAGTATAATTGCTGTTGTTGTGTACCGTGGAGTCGGAACTGACCCATAGTTGACCTTCTGGAAGGTTTTCAGAGACATTTAATCACACGGGAGGAGATTGCCCATGCTTCTCCCACGGACCAGCTAGTGGCCTCAAACCATGTGCCTTCAGGATTGCAGCACAGCTTCTTTCCGGTAGGCCGCCAGAACTCCCCTAATTATGGAGAAAAAAAAATGTACATAGACAAAGATGCTTAAAAAGAGAGAAGACAGTTCACCAAAACAATATGGGGGGAAATTTTGAAGAATTTTTTTTCTTCATTTTCTTCTCTTTTTGAAAATATAAGCTGGGTTCGCCAAATGATATACAATGACTACATATCTTTTTTTTAAAAAAAAATTTGGAACACTTCCCGAATTTGCATGTCATCCATGCGCAGGGGCCATGCTAATCTCTGTATTGCTCCAATTTTAGTATATGTGCTGTCAAAGGGAGCACATACATCACTTTTTTTTTTCATACATCACTTTTAAAAAGAAGGATGTCTTTAATTTTATGAAATTGAATGAGTTTCATTTCTGCCACAGGGAAGTGAACAGTCTAGATGCACTACACAGGCACACGAGAAATGCCTCGAGTGGGACGCTTGTTGGGTGGGGTGGTGTTGCCTGGAGATACTTTTCAGCCTGTGTGGTGGTTCTGGTGATACCCTTGCATGTGATGACCGAGGGTGCGGATGGTAGGTTCTCGTTATGAAGGCTGTAGGTGGCTGTGATGATGATGGTTACAGGGCAACGAGAGAGGCACTGCAGCTGGAGTGCTGATGACGATGGTGGTGACACTGGTGGTAGGAGTGATCATTAAGGTTGTGAGAGTTGTTGGCATTAGCAGGGATGCTTGACTATAGTGATGGTATCCATCAAGGTGATAAGGGCGGTGCTGTACAAGTTAGGACTGGAGAGGAGATGACTGAGAGGCTTTGACCGAAGGAGTGTCTGCCATTGTGCATACTAATAGCAGAGGGGGTGACTGGAGTCACAATAGCTGTAGGGGTGGTGGCTGTCAGGGGGATGGAGGCAGTCAATGATGATGCTCATGGAGGTGATTGATAATCATTGGGGTGATGGCCAAGGGGTACTGACAAGCAGCAGTGATTGCTCTTGTACTGTAAGTGTACAATGGCCGTGGCGATGGCTACAGTGACAATAGGTTTAGGAGTGATGACCGTAGGAGCTGAGGGCTGATGATGTTGGGGTGATTGGTACTGACGACTATAGATGTACAGATGGCAGTGAGAATGCCTGACTTCAGGGACAGCCACTGCAGGGGTGGTGGCTGTACGGGTGATGGTGACAGTGGTGAGTGACTGTAGGCATGATGGTTGAAGAGTGTTGACGGTAGAGGTGATTGCTCTGGTGCTGGTGGCTGGCTGTCAGACTGCGGTGAGGATGGCTGTGGAAGTGAAGGTAGTGCTGGTTGGAGAAATACTTGGATGGCTGATGGTCAACTATCGAGGCCATGGGAGTGGAGCCGGTGATAGTGTTGGTGATGCAGGGTGACCAGGAGCTTGGACCCAACAGGGAGAAAGTCCAGCTTCTCTGGTGGAGTCGGCCATGTCCGTTGAGTAGATTGGTCCCCTCTAGGGAGCGCAAGAAGAAGGCCTGGCAATGACTGGCCTGAGACAGACAGCCGGGAAGGGACTTTTTTCAGATTGTCCGACCCCAGTGCTGTCCGCATCAGAATCTCTGGAGACTGAAGCTGGGACTTCCTTCCTCCCCAGAGGAGGGGCAGGGGCTGCGATTGCTGTAAGAACAGGTCACGTGGCAGGGCTTCCTGTATGCCGCTGCTGCCGGGTGTCCATGGCCCGCACCCCCAAGCTGCCACTGCAGCAGTCAGAGTGGCAGCCGGAGGTTCGGTCCATGCCGTACCCCTTGACGCCTAGGAGAGCAGGGACAGAGCCTAACGTGAGCAGAGGACCATGCTGCGCCGCAAACCCTCCAACGCCAGCGAGAAGGAGCCCACACAGAAGAGGAAGGTGAGGAGCATCTATGGTGGCGCACTTCTCCCTTCCCCCCCGGCACACTCACCCCCATCTCCTCAGGACTCAGACGTGGGAAGAGTCACAGACCGTGTGTTGAGTCGTAGATGAGGGCCATTCTCCCAGAGAGCAATAGAACCGGGTAACCAGGGTAACAGAAGTCTTCAGAGACTTAAAACCAGAACAGCAGAATAAAGGAAGAGACCCGTAGAAGTCTAGAGTTAGAGAATGGAACCCTACCACCACGATGAGATGTTGTTTTGTGCCTTCGATCATTGCAGGCCCTCCAGTGGGTTTTGAGAGGCTATAAATCACACCAGATTTGCTCGACTGTCTCTCATAGAGCCGCTGGTGAATTGAAACCACCTGCCTTTGGGTCGGCAGGGTAACTCCTTACCCACTAGGCCGCAGCGATGAGAGAGAGACCTACCACGGAAGACTAGAATCCTAGACTAGAATTCAAAAATTACCCAATGCAAGTTGAATCTCAAGACTGTAAGTTATCACCCTGTACTGTTCTGCCGCCACTTCTGCCAACGCATGGTCATTTCACCCCACGGGCCCCACCGGGCTGCCCATCTTGGCTTTCTGGAACCCCCACCCTTTAGCCATTGCCCAGACGCTGCCCATTTGGCTCAGCTTCCCCAACCTCCCCCCTGGAGAGCCAGTCACCACAGCTGGCTAGCCTGAGGTGATTCCCAGGCTTGGAAAAACCAAACCCACAGCGGGCACAGGGAGGCGGGAGCATACTACTTTACCCTAGGTGGGGAGAAATTGTTTGCCAAGAATGAGTAATGAAGCCTGGGAGGTGGTGAGTAAGAGTGAGGGCTGAGGAGGGGAAGTTTGGTGAGGCGATTTTAAAGACCAAGAAAAAGAGCAACTGTTGTGGAGGGCTATGGTATTCATCTTCCTGGGGCAGAGGTCAGACTGGAAGATCCCCCAAAGGTTCTGCCAGACCTGGGATCCCTGGACTTGATTTGATTCTCTCAAGCAAGCAGCAAGTACATTCTGCATGTCCAGCAGGATTCTAGAGCCATCCCAAAGTAGGCCTGCTCCAGGTCCAAGAGGCCCAAGCCCTGGCAGAGGTCTGGGGCCTCCAGACCCTCACAATCTCCCCAGAGCTCAGGTCACAGCAGAGGCTGAGCTGGAGCACTGGGGTGTGCATCCTGTCTCCTCTCAGAGCCAGGGGGGTGGCTGTCATTTCCGGCTCTCTTCTCCCCACCCCAGCTGTTTCTCTAAGGTTGCAGTTGAGGTGGGTAGGGGTGAGATTCACAGATCTTCACACGGGCTCTGTCACTCCTCCCCAGCACCCAGCAAGCCTGCCATTGGCTGCTGCTCATCTGAGGGGGAAAGGACCACTTCCCCTTGCTCTCTGGCTGCTGGGAGCATAGATGCTACTGGGGCCTCAAACCACAGGAGAGCTGAGCTGGAGGAAAGTCTGAGAAAGAACTGACACTTATGACAGCGGGACATGGGCTACCTCAGGCGGAGGTGGCCGGGAGTACACGGAAATCCTTCTTTCTTGACACCGGTGACTTACCAGATGCTGTGTTTAAAGGGTGGGTCTCTGGGGTTTCCCTCGACCCATGCTGTCTTCTGAGGTCCACCACGTCTTATAGGGGAAGGTAACCTAGCAACCCCATTCACACTCACCTTCCTGCTGAATCCTAGGATGAGCGTGCATCAGAGGCAGAGGGCATGGTCAGCAGAGTTTGCTTGGGCTTACTCACTAATCCGCAGCGTTTCACTCCATCATGTGGAGACAAACAGGCGTGGAACTGTGAAGTCAGTACAAGTCAGATAATACAGAAGTACATCTCAGTCCATGCTTACCTGGTTTACCCAGTAAGACGTCCCCATCAGGGATGGTGATTAGGGAAAGTGGCTTTGATTCTGCAGGAAGGTGTGGGGTTGAGAGAGAGAGAGACAGAGGCCAACTGTGGAGTTGAGAGAGAGAGAGAGACCAGCCAGACCTCCACCCACAATCTTTGATGGGGGCCAGGAAAAGTAAAATTGTTTACTATGGATTAGTAAGTAAACACAAGTTAGTCTGTGCGAACCTTGTTTACTGAGTCCTCTGGCCCTGGCAGGGTTGGGAAACTGGGGGGAAAGGCTTTGATTCTGTAGGAAGCTGCTATAAGGTTGGGAGAGAGACGCCAGCCAGACCTCGAAGCAGAATCTCTGATGTGCTGAAAAGATATGTGAAATTATAAATAGGGAGCTCTGGTGAGAGCTGTGCTGCTAACCCAAATGTAGGCAGTTTGAATCCACTGGAAGCTCTGAGGGAGAAAGATGGACAGTCGCTTCCTGTGTGATGTACAGCTCCCAAAAATCTCAATAGAGGGACAGCAATGAGTCGGTTCTGACGCGATGGCAGTGAGTTTTGAGGGAGAGATTAGGAAGTTCACCTTGCTCGTTGGGTAATCTGACCCTGGCACATTACCCCCATCCTGCCATGGTCCAAGCTGCTGGCTGGCCTTGAAGACAGCCAAGCTGAGGTGTGAACAGGTGCTACAAGATGCCAGGGTTGACACTGGGTGACCCAGGGTGTGGGACAGTGGCCCTCGGCTGGTTGGTGGAGGTGTTTTGCCTCCTTCAAGGCCTCTCCCCTAGCTGAGATTCAGCTTCCCAGCAGGCCAAGTGCAATTACAGCCTTCACCATGGCCTTGAGGGAGTCTCTGCCCCTCAGGGGCTGAGGGGACGTGGGGAAACGGAGCACACAGGCAAGTGAAGCTTCTCTCTCCTGGTCCTTTTCTTCCTCCTCCTCCTCTGCCTCCCAAATTCAGAATGTGCTGGAACCCTCCCCTATCGCTGTCCGGGGAGCTGAGGAACCTCGGACAATTAGGCTGTTTACCTTTTTCTGTTTTCAGATCCCTCATCTCTGGAAGCGGGTGGGGGACTGGCTTTCAATGTGCTCCCTTCAAGAGGTCGTGTGATTCACCTGGGACGACAAATGTGAGATGATTTGGTGGCTCAGGGACATGTCCACACTAGGGGGTGCCCACTTGTCAGCCCAGCCAGGGCTAGAAGTCCTGCTGAGCAGTTCCAGCCCTGAGGTCAAACAAACAAGGCCTACCAGCTCAAAGAGCCACCACCATGCTGGGTGCATTCTCCGGCTCCCAAGGGCAGAGAGCAGACCCTGGCATTGTCCCTGTTTTATACCTGGCTCTCAGAGAGAATTGCAGCTTGCCAAGCTCATGCCTCTGCTGACCTAACCCCTCCTCTTTTGTGGTCCCACTGATCTCAAAAGCTCTCACAGAGTCTGAGCATTTGAAGGCTTAGTTCCTCGGCTCTGTAGGGCAGACCCAGATGGCAGCAGGGCGAGTCATCTTCCAGGGTCCTGGGGTTCACGTGGGCACCTGTTCCTACTCACAGAGGATTAGGGAGCCCTCAGGGTCAGGGCCCTTACACCTCATCTGCCCTTTGTAGACATTTTGCCTCTGTTGTTGTTATGGGCTGTCAACACTCCCTTTAGGGGGTCTCTGGTGACCTAATGGTAAGAAGCTGCACTGAAATCCTGAAGGCATGCAGTTCAGTTCCACCAGTCACTCTGAGGGAAAGGGATGGACAATCTCCTCCCGTCTAATTTCTAGCCTCTGAGAATCAACTGAAGAGTCAGCTATGGGTCGGTTCAGACTTGACAGCACACACCACCACTCCCACTCCCATTAATCTAATTTCCTCCACACGCTAGGAGTTGGTCCTCCCTCAACTCACATCAGACCTCCAGGGGAACAGGAGAGGGGGGCCCAGCTCCTCCTTCCCCCCAGTCTCTTCCTGGAGCCAGGACACCCCTCACCAGCATGCACTTCATTTTGTCAGTACCTCCATTGCCTCACATGACTGGCTCACCTCCCCTTCACCTGAGGCGCAGCCCTGCTCGCCCTCCTGGAGGAAGGGGAGTTCCCCTCCTAGGCCCAGCGCCTGCTGCCTGCTCCTAAGCCTCCCTGAGCCTGGCCTCCTCTGGCCCCTCACTTGCTCTCCTTGCGATCGCCATCCACTTGACTCACTTCTGCACCGGTGGGCTACTTCCAGAACTCTGATGGGGGTGGGGGTGGGGCAAGCACGTGGCGACGTAGACCGTCCGGAAACGCTGGCCTAGCTCTGTTTGGGCCCTTGCTCTTCTTGCTGATGGTTTCTCTGAGACTCAGTCTTCTCACCTGTGAAGAGGGCATGACACAAGGGCCTATTGGTGTGGCTAGGTGAATGGGTGCACCTGGAAGGGCTTAGCAAAATTCCAGGCACAGGGGAGATGTTTAAACTATCCCCCCTATTCGTTTCCTAGGGTTGCCGTGACAAAGGATTGCAGATTGAGTGGCATAAAACAGCACAGTGCTAGGACTAGATGCCTTAGACTTGGGGTGCTAGCAGGGCCAAAGGCTCTAAGGAACAAGCCTTCCTTGTCTCTTCCAGCTTCTGGTGGTCTCAGGCATTCCGTCTTCCCTCTGTATCTCGTCTCTGTTTATAAGAATGTCAGCGATATTGAATTAGAACCTACTCTCCAAAGATTGAAACTCAATAACTTCAACTTACTTGGATCCATAATCAATACACTTGGTGCCAGGAGATCAGGAGATGTATAACACTGGGGAAAGTCTGTAGTCTGGGACCTCTCCAAATTACTGAGGAGCAATGATGTTAGTTTGAGGATTAAAGTGTGCCTGTTTCAGGCCATGGTCTCTTCAGTCACTTGTTATTTTCAGTCACGTTGTCCAGCACCTGAGAGCTGGACAATGAATCAGGATGACTAAAGAATGGATGCCTTTGAGTTGTGGCCTTAGAGAGGAGTACTGAATGTTCCATGGATTGCCAAAAGCGAACAGATATATCTTGGAGAGGGTGCAGCCAGAGTGCTCCTTGGAGGCAAAGGTGATAAAGCTTCGTCTCATATACTTCGGGCATGTTGATAGAAGCAGCTATGCATTGGAGAGAGACACTATGCTTGGAAAGGTAGAGGGTCAGTGAAGGAGAGGAGGACCCTCAACCAGGTAGACTGA